GTGCTGGGGGGGGTGAGAGAGAGAGAGAGAGAGAGAGAGAGAGAGAGAGAGAACGAGCATGTGAGAGCATCACACACACACAAACCCATGAGTTCAGCAATACCCCTGCTTTGCCCTCCTCTGCCCCCATGCCTCCCCTCTCCCCACTGTGCTGTTGTACCCCAGGCCTCACTGCAGCTCCCACCCCAGCCACCAAGCTCCTCACCCCACAAATACAGCCTGTCCCTGCTTCACTGCCTCTTTATGCCCCCCACCCCCAGCATCTCTCCAGACACCCCTTCTAGCAATGGTTTGATACTCCTCCCTCCCAGGTATAGTACCACCCTATACTGCCTGCTTTGCCCCTCCATCCACACACTATCTCCTGGGACCAATGAGCTCCTCCTCACCTCACCATGCCCTAACAATGCAGCTCTCACTGGGTACCTCTGTGCCTCCCTATTGCTTTAGCACCTCATCCTCAAGTAATTCACCCACAAACACACTTCTTGCTTCACCAGGTACCTCCATGCATGTTGCCCTAGCCCAGTGATTCTCAACCAGGGAGATGAGGCACCCTGGGGTGCCCTGAGATCCTTTCAAGGGTGCTGTAGGGCACCATGCTGTGTTAGCACTGTTAGATGTACAAACATGATTCACATCATAAACCCAGAGTTTTAAAACAGGAATCCATACCATTAAAAACATTCTGACCTGCTGTGGTGTTTTTGAGTTCTTTGCAACAGAAGAAATGCCCCGTAACATTTCTGTAGCCAAAAAAACAAATGAAACTTAAGAGCTGGCATTTTCTGTGGGGTTCCTCAAGTCTATCTAAGGATGCCTAAAGTTTATAAAGGTTAAGAAACACTGCCCTATCTTGATTGCTCCCTACACAGGTTCCCCTTACTACACCAGCTAACCTCTCCAGCCTCACCTGCCACAGTACTAACATGCACCACATGCTTGCACTTCCACACACTACCCCATGGCATCACTGAACCCCACTACATCACAGGTGCTTTCCACCCACTCGGCTGCCTGCAGGTACGTGCTCATTTTGCTGGGCAAGTGTAGTGGGTGGAAGGCAGCTGAGAGCTGGAGCTGGAACCCTGCCTGCTGGAGCAAGAGCCACTGAAGCTTCCTCCTCGCCCAAAGCAGTAAAGCAAGAGCAGGGGCAGGAGGAGTCACCGCTGGAGGCAAGGGGAGCTGAGTAGCATCAGGACAGCTGCAGCTGCGCTGGGAACAGCTGGACAGGACTGGGGCTGGAAGATAGGTGACTGATGACTGCCCTGGGTGGGGCTAAGCCCCATATGGAGCAACACAGGGTCAGCTGAGGGCCAGATCCAATCATTTGGCAGGTGTACCCTGCAGGCCAAATCCAGTCCATTGGCAGGCTAGATCTGGCCAGAGGCTCTATTTTTGCCTACTTTTGAGCGACATCAGGACACTGAGCAATTTGGTCTGGCCTTTGGACTGTCTTAACGGTCTAAAGGAGAGATGATAGATCTAGGGCAGCCTCCACTCCTCCATACTCCTGCCTAGACATATGCACTGAAAGTCTTGGTGTGATCTATACTAGCCAAAAATGAAAATGTAACTCGCATGCTGGAATGTTCAAGCTCTGACCCTTGGGTCTGATTCAGACTCAGACTTAAAGAAAACGGCACTGCTAAACCATAAATTGGTTACACTCAGAATTGACATTATCAGAATCTTGGCTCTTAGATACAGGTTCTATCCAAGAGAATGATTACATTATATTCTGGCCTGCAAATCCAGCAGGAGAAAGGAGCAAGCAGGGAGTAGACTCTGGTATTAGTAACAGCTTCCTATCCCTCTGTGAAAGCCTCATTGCTGTATCTGTTCAATTCATGACACTCAGCATGCCTACACAGAACACCTTCAATCACATTGTTTAAGTGGTTATGCACTTACCCTTCAAGCTAGCAGCGAAGACAAGAATATTTTCTACCAACAGCTTGAAGAAGAGATTGAGAAAACTCACAGAAATGAGATCATTCTAATACTCGGCAACTTCAATGCAAGAGTTAGATGTAATTTTAAGAATTGGCCTGGTATTGTGGGCAATTACAGAATTGGTAGGATTAATGTAAATGGGCAGCGAGTGTTAGAACTTTGTGCAAGTCAAAACCTGTGTTACTAACATCTGCTTCACTGGCAAATCACAAGAAGGACATTGTGGAAGGATACAAGATCAGTTAGATCTTGTACTGACCAAGTATAGCCACCTGAAAGAAATTCTGCATATGAGGTCTTATCTCAGCACTGACTGTGATACTGACCATGCCTTTCATAGATTCATAGATGTCATACATGTTCAATCCATGTCAAAAAGATCCACCATTGCAAGACTACCAGTCACTCTCAGATAGGTATCAGCCAAACCAAAGACAGAAAAATGCAGACTATTCAATGAAAAAGTTGCAAACGCAAGTTTACCTAACAACTCAGCCACTGAGGCTTGGGAAGGCTTAAAAGCGAACATGTACAGTGCTGCTATAATAATATTTGGCAAAACAGTGCAAGAAAAATGCAGACTATTCAATGAAAAAGTTGCAAACGCAAGTTTACCTAACAACTCAGCCACTGAGGCTTGGGAAGGCTTAAAAGCGAACATGTACAGTGCTGCTATAATAATATTTGGCAAAACAGTGCAAGAAAAATGCAGACTGGTTTGAAGAGCACTCTGAAACCCTTCTACCACTGGTTGAGAACAAAAGGACAGCATTAACCAACTATAAGGAATCTCCCAAGACCATAACCCTAGAAAATCTGAGAAAGGCATGAAGAGAAATGCAAAAGGAGGCTAAGAGGTGTGCCCAAGATTTTTGGCTAAAACTCTGTGATGACATTCAGGAAGCAACTGATACAAGCGATAGCCACAGAATGTACGAAGGCATCAAATGAGCAAGTGGTCCAATCGAGAAGAAAACAACTCTGCTGAAAGACTTAAATAGAAATGTCTTTACTGATAAACAAAAACAACTTGAGAGTTGGATTGCACATTATAGAATTATATACTCTAGTAAGATGAAATCTAATACAAAAAGCTTGGAGGATTACCACGGTTTGAAGTTACGATGGATTTAGACAAGCCTACATTAGCAGAAAGTCATTAAATCAATTCCTGGGAACAAGGCACTTGGAACAGTCTGGAAATGACTGTTTGCCTACTGAAATGTACAAATGTGCCAATGACGAATTACTTCAAAAGTTTCATAAAGATATGCTGCTCTGTTGGAAAGAGGCAGTGGTACCACAAGATTTCAAAGATACTCAGTTTGTACAATTATACATAAACAAAAGAGGATAAAACCAACTATGACAACTGTAGAGGTATCTCCCTGTAGAACATAGTCAGAAAAATTGTCACTTGCATCATGCTCTCTAGTCTGCAATCTCTAGGTGAAAGAATCTATCCTGAAAGGCAATGTGGCTTTTGCTCTACCATTGATGAGATATTTTTGGTCAAACAACTGCAAGGAGAAGTGTGGAGAAAAACGAATACCAGTGTGCATAGCCTTCACTGATCCAACGATAGCCTTCATACAGTCAACAGACAAGACATCAACAGTACATCAACAAACAGGGGTATGTCTTAGCTCCCATGCTTTTTAATGTTTACATTTCTGCTGCTTCATGCATTCAAGGGCAGTAACGATAGCCTTTATCGTCTAACCAGATTAGATAGAGGTTTGTTCAATATCACAAGATTTAGAGTGAAAGCCAAGGTGAAAGAACTGGTTCTGAGAGACTTCCTGTTTGGTTATGATACGGCCTTGGGTGTCCACAGTGAATCTTCCCCACTAAATCCCTTGGGCAGATTTTCTGAATCGTGCAAGAGCTTCAGGATAGCAATTAGTTTCAAGAAGACTGTTATCATGTACCAAGGGGCGAAAGAACTGATACCCGACATCATTCTGAAGGATAAATCTCGGTGTTATTGAAAGTGTTTGCTACTTGGAATCTACAATCAGCCTTGACCTTCAGACTGAACTAACAGAATCAAAAAAGCAGCTAAGAATTTTGTCTATTACAGAAACATGCATGGAATAACAGAAAACTATCAGCTAAGGTGAAGATGCAAATCTACAGGACTTGTGAGCTGTCATCCCTGCTTTAGAGTTCAGAAACGTGGACTACATATGCTAAGTATATCAAAAGACTGAACAGCTTCCACATGAGATGTCTGCAGAAGAGCCTGAAAATAAAGCGGGAAGAAAGAATACCAAACGCAGAGGTGCTGAAGTGACAGGACTGACACATTTAGATGCCCCTATCAAGAGGAGGTTGTGATGGATCAGCTATGACAGAATAATGGAAGAAAACTGTATCGCCAAGAATATTTTGTATAGTGAGATTCAAGATGGCTCTAGAAACCAGGTCACCCTCTACAGAGGTACCACGATGCATGCAAAAATGGTATAAAAATCATTCAACATCAGCACAGAAAGCTGGGAGGAGTGTGCAGAATCCTATGTGATCCAGAGGGAATATCTGACACTGGGTGCAGCTCAATATGAAGAAGTTTTCATCCAGAGCATGGAAGCAAAACGAGAAAAAAGAAAGCAGCATGCTCTTAACTTGTACTCCAACTAAGACAACATATGGATCTGCGAGACTTGCAACAAGCAGCGTCGCTCTCAAACTGGGCTTGGCAGCCACAAATGGATTCATCAGGAATCCAATTAAACCACTTACATGTACACCATGATCCAGAGAATCAATAGTTGCCTACTAGATATTCATAACACAGCGGTCTATGCCTACAACAAAAAAGATATTTTTGCTTCTGAATTTCCCAACAAGAGGTCCTCAACGAATGCTGCTATCTACATTGTTCTTCAGTAGATGTCATACCTTTTATTAGACCAACTAAAAAGCTGGAAAGATTGTTCCAATTTGAAGGGTGTTTGTGCCCGCAAGCTTGCACAAAACAATCTTTCCAACTATTTAGTTGGTCTAATTAAAGAGATCACGTTGACCCAAAGAACCTCGTCTGCCTGTCCTTAGACCAACACAAGCACAAGCATACGTGTGCCCCTGGATCTGCTCAGGACAGGGTGGCCTGCAGGCTCGGGCCAGGGTTGCGTGCAGGGTGGATGGTGGTGCTAGGAGGGGGAATTAGGGGGGGGCCCCCCACGGGAAATTTTGGGGAGGCTACAAACCTCCTGTAGCCCCTTCCCAGAGCTGTCACTATGTGCTCTGAGCACAGCCCAGTGCAGCCCCCACTGGGAAGAGCTCAGCCCACAGCTGTAGTCCACACGCATCCTGTGTACAGATCCGGGACACATGCCTCTCCCCCATGCCCTCCCAGGGTGTGTGCAGAAGTGGGAGCTCCTCCATGAGCTGAGGCTCCATCCCGTGCCTCGCCCCAGCTGGGCAGCGCCTGCCCCAGCCCCACTCCCTCCTTCACTGCAGGGGCCTTGATCTGCTCCTGCCTCCACCCCTTTCCCCTCCTTCCACCACAACAGACTTACCAGTTGGATGCAGCTCTCCATGCTGCCAGGCTGTGCTTCTTGTCACCTACATATTGCATTGCAGCTGCACGCATGCACAGGGCATTTATTGGCCAAATTTTTGTCACTTTTGCCTGGAGTGGCCAATTTCCGATAGTCAATTTTCTTTATGTTGGTACCGATGCAATATCAGACCAATGTATCGGTGCACCTCTAATAGAAACTTAACCTCTTTAGAAAACATGAAATCGAGTTCCTCCTAGGTATCACTGAACTATATACATCGTTATTTTGTCAACTCAAACATTTCAAAAACAAAAAGCCAACTTCCTATAAAACTGGTACTCTTTTTGATGCTGTATTGAGGACTGACTCCATTTTTATAACATCCAGTCTACTCAGAGATCACTAGACTGAAGGCAATCATAGCTGAATAAAAAACAATAACGTCTAAAATGTCCATGATTTCAATGCCTTAGAACAACATAAAATATTAATGTCAGAAAGGTTTTTCATTCAAAGATGTTCTTAAGACATATGAGAAAGGAAGCCAGCTCCCAAGGATCTTCGAGATTAATTCCTGATCTTCAACGCATCTAACATGGCAGTTCTACTACACAGAACATATGCAGATCTTTAAGCTGCATATTTCTGTCCTGCACTGCCATAAGGATACCGAGGCCAGGAAAGAGCTCGAGTGACTAAGTTTTCATCTTATGCACACAGTGTGATTTTAAAGCAACTGTTGTTAAATCAGACTCGGCATAGACATGATTCAATTTGTTAAATGGTTATTAAACCATGTTTAAGTAGGCATATCCAGGCTGCATTTTGTGCTGGTCTCAGTAAATCTGTTTTAAGTGGATTTGAGAACTGCATCTTGGAATAAGGGCAAAGTCTAGCATGTTCCAAGGATGACATCAGGAGCTGTTTTGGTATCTGTCCAGGCTGCCAAGCTGAGGGACATAGTTAGCCCTGTTAGTCTGAAGTCAAACAGAAGTCCGGGTAGATTTGCACCTTATACGGACCAGTAGTTCCCACCCTCCTTAGACTGGAGGTGCCCCTTCCTTGGACTGGAGACACCCCTCCACAATGTCTGTGAATTGAGTGTGCCCCATTTCAGGACCCAATTGATTTATTACAGTGGTCACCTCCTTGCAGAGGGGCCAGGCAGAAAGACACACATGGGTGCACTGATGCACACAACCAGACACACAGACACACACAGAACCAGTCACAGGCACTCATGTGCGCAGACATAACCAGATGTGCGCAAACACAGGGAACCAGACACGGGCACACAAACACACAGAGAAGCAGACACCCATGCAAACGCGCACACACACATAAATGTTGTGTTCCTCCTGGGGCTGGGGGGGCACGTTGACTGCCCGCAGGCAGTGGCAGCATTGTTGGTGGCAGGGGCATGGTGGCAGGGAGCTCCCACAGGTGGCTGCAGCAGTGTCGGGGGTGAGGGGGGCGGTGAGCGGGGACCGCCCGCAGGCGCCACTGGTAGTGTCGGCAGCAGCCCATCTCCGGGGGGGCGGGTGCGTGTGCACCCCCTACGCGTCGCCAATGCACAGGCACACAAACCCAGACCCGCACACAAACCCGGAGAACCACCCACACGCACACAAAACCAGACACAGATACGCAGAGGACCAAACATACACTCGCAAACACACGCGCGCCCATGCTCAGAACCAGACGCGTGTGGAGGCGCGCGCACCCCACCACACGCGCGCGCCGGGCTGCAGGGCCGCAGGACAAAGCTGGCCCCGACCGAGGATGCCCTGGGCCGGGGAGGGAAGGGGAGGGGGGACCCCGCGCTAAGCCTGCCGGGCGGGGCCTCCTGCCGGGAAGGGGGCGGCGCAACAGGGTGCGGGGGGATGTAGCCCCGGCCCCGCTGCTCTCACCTCGGGCTCTCCTCGGCCAAGCGGCTCCGAAGCAGCTGCGAGGATCCCGCTGGGGGGGCGGGGCGGCGTTTCTCCGCCTTCGGGCGCCTGCAGGCGCAGAGGAGTGGGCGTGGTGTAGGGAGAGCCTCGGGCTGCACGGCGAAGGCTTTGGAAGGCTCTGAAGTCGCAGCCGGGGGTGGAGGGTGCTTGTTGGTCACAGCGCCACATATGGCTCCTGGCCGATTCACGCGGGTTTGGAAATGATTTGGCTGATTTGGCTCGGGACACGAAAAGTTTTCCATTAAAAAAAAAACAAAAAGTGGAGGGTGCACCCCTGTGCAATGCACTGTGGACAAGGTGCCCTACAAGTCCAGCAATTAGCGGGAGGATTTTGGTTGCCTTCTTGACAGAAATGGGGTGGGCTCCTCCCTACCTTGCTCCTGTGGCCATTGACTAAGGGCAAGTGAGACTCGGGGGCATCCAAACCGTAAACAGCCAGGCTTGGGCCTGCACCTACAATGCCCGCCAATGGAGTTGGGCATGAATGCCACATGCCTCCAGAGGCTGGGGGGCACAGCGACCGCCTGCAGGCAGCAGGGACGTGTTGGCAGCAACCGGGAAGCTCCCACAGGCAGCCGCCGCGGGGGGGCAGGCCAAGCAGAGAGCTCCTGCGGGTGGCCGCAGCTGTGTTGGCAGGGGGCGGGGGATGGCAAGCACCAACAGCCCACAGGCACCACTGGCAGCATCAACGGCACTTTTTGCAGGGGGTGCACCGCCAGTCTCAGGGTGCATGTGCAACCCCTATGCGTCACCAGTGGGTTTGGGAGTACTGTATCTGAAACACCAGGCTGAAAAGTTTGGGTTGAAGGATAGTTGCTAGTTGTAGTGCCACATGGATGTTTGAATGATTGAGTTTTGCTCAGTCAACAGGATTTGGAACTGATTTGGCTAATTTGACCTGGAAAACAAAAAATTCCCCCCACTCCCACCCCAAAAAATGTGTGCCGCCAGGCAGCAGAGGGTGGGACCCTGGGGTGGGGGGCGGCCTTGCTTGGGCCTCATGCAGGAGCTGGGCTGAGCTCTGTTGTTGCTGGAGCGCCCGTCATTTGGCCTGTGGTGGAAGCCAGGACTTGTGGGCGAATCTTCCCTTCTGTTGCAGGTGTTGATGGGTGCCCAGGATGCAAGGATCAAGGTGCTTCTTGTAGAAAGACAAAGCAGCAGCAATACGAGGAGGACA